TATACACACAATACAGTGAAATAGTTTCAACTTGAAATTGAATGTACAGCACATTCAATAAATCACCTTCATGAAATAGAAAAGTACATTAATTTTATTATAATAATATGTTTGGCGGGTTGGGACAGAACTCAGGAAAAGGCGGAAAAACAAAGGGGGGATAAAAAAAAACAATACGCTGGAAGGCGTGAGCTTTTGACCCTTGAGCGGGAAAGGAGGGGGAGGGGGGGGGGATATCAGTGATCATCGTGCTTATGGTCGCAATAGTGGTGTTGCGGTTGATGATGGTGATGATGATGATGATAATGATGATGGTGCTCCTGAAGAAGCCATCGAGACGAAATGTTGGGCCGTTTTAATGAACAAATTTATTTTTGGATTTCTAATTCATATTTTCTGAGTGAACATTAATCAAGACTCTCCCTCCCTACTCTGCTTTGTCTACAGTGATGATGATGACGATGATGCTGATGATGATGATGTTGATGATGATGATGATGAGGATGAGGATGACGATGATGATGATGGTGGTGATGGCGATGATGATGGTGATGATGATGATGATGATGATGATGATGATGAGAGGGAAGGGGGTGAGGAAGAGGAGGGTAAGGATGAGGATGAGCATTAGTATGATAAGAATTACTTACGAGAATTGTTATTACACGTACGATTTAGCAAAGCCTTCTCTGAGAGACAATGCAATTACAGGATTTGCACTCGAAGAATAGGTTTTTAAAAATGCGGACTCCGATTTTTCTCTCAATTCAAGTTAAGCGTCAGAGTTCTTGTAGGATGTGCTTGAGTGTTGAAACCCTCCTACATAGTTGAAAAGGGTGTATCATCCTCAGGATCGTCCATGTTCGCCACCAGGTCCCGAGTATCAGAGGTCGGGAGCCTCCGGAAGTGATGCAAAGCGCCCATCATGGCCGACCGGAAATCCGGCGCCAGGAACAGCGCCACGGGCACTAGCCCCGACTTGGCAAAGAGAACCCAGTCAGCCACCGTGCCCAGTGGGAGGAGCCAAGCCAGACACGTGACGTCAGAACACGCCCCGCCAGCCATGGCAGTAGTGATGAGGAAGGCTGGGAGTGGGAGGAGGCAGGTGAAGATGGTGATAAGGGACAGAACGGAGATGGGCAGGGCGGTGCATTGCTCTGTGTCGGACTCCAGCCGAAGTTGGACGTTCGGAGTGGCAAGTGCTGTCTTCTCTCTGATCTGAGAAAGAAAAAAGGATGTAATGTAACAGAATGGCAACATGGCAGGGTGCTAAAACCGTGTCTGCTAAAATGGTCCATCATATTGAGAAACTGCTATTTTGTTTTCAAAACATACAATTTTATAGACGCGTCGCTGAAACACAAAACAGCTGGAAAAGGAGCACAATCCACCCCCCCAAAAAACCCCCCCAAAAAACCCAAAACAAACCAACCAAAAATACCACCATCACTACCACCACCACCGCCGCCGCCACCGCCACCACCACCACTAACAACAACAACATTTACAACGCACCGTCCAAAGAAAAAGGGAAAAAACCCAAACAAAAACCCAACAATATAAAACCAACTAGATCTAGTAAGACTTTTGTAAAACATCGTACGTCTTTAAAAAGGTCTCTGTGAAATATTTCCTTCGGGGAGACATTTTTGGCTTAAAGATTACTGTTTGATTAATATTCCAATTCGTATCCATTCTACTTGGTACAACAAAGGCTAGATGTAATATACTGCTTGTTCACTCTCCTTTAGCAGTATAATTCGATTTTCAGATAAGTCATTTTTCTTTTTACAGCCTGGAAAAAAAACTTTACAGGACTGTTACCCACTCCCGCAGATAAATGCATTCCCGTGCATGAAGAGTCAAAGAGAAACATTCTATTAAAAAAATGCAGTACACACACATGCACACATCCACGTACACATAGAAATAAGCCCACACAGACACTCACATACATACATACACACTTTCTGTAACATACACATACTCAATCCCTTTTCCTCTTTCCCTTTCTTTCTCGCCCCCTCACCCCCCTCTCTCTCTATATATATATCTCTCTCCCTTACTCTCTCTTTCCTCATCTCTCCCCGTCCTTCTCTCTCACTCTCTCCAATTCTCTCTCTCTCTCTCTCTCTCTCTTAATCTTTCAGTCTGTCTTTCACCGAGTATCTCCCAGTCTTTCGCTCGTCCACTCTTTCTCGCAGACTTGTTTTCTCTCCCTCCCTCCCTCATTCCCCTCCACCTTCCTCAAACTCCCTCTCTCTAACAAACCCCTTTCTCCAAGCCCAACCTTCTTCAACCTCATTTCCCCGTCCAGTCAAGCAAACATCACCCCATGTCCTTCCACCAGCTCAATTCACGACATTTTCCTTCTTCTCAACTCTTGTGATTACTGTCCGGAAGATCCCACACTTTTTTCTCCCTTGCACTGCAGGGTACATGCAACTTAACTCTTTAAGAACGTAGCGGACACATGATAATAATATGTCCGACAAGCAACAGACCAAAGACAATGTTACAGCCCATTTCGAACGATCATACACAAAACAGGTTTTTGGTTTGGGAAACAATGTTGAAAAAAAAACAACAACAATCGCGTATGCATAACAAAAGCAATGCTTTTTTTTTTTTTCCAAAGTGCCCAAACACAGCACTCCTTCAAACGTAGTCGAACGACCAGAATGTGAGTCCTACATGAGTTAAAAGAAAAGAACGCGTGTCTGGGAGAACGTAAAATTGAAACATGACTTTGACACTTTTAAATTTCCAGCTAAGTAGCTAACAAGCATCTCCTGGTAACACTTTCAGGAAACATTAAGTCTTTTCTATAAAGAGCCCGCATTCGTAAACTACGTCATTTCGCGGTATTTCGCTGTCTTTTTTCGAGCGTTAGCATTGTTATATAACAGCTGGTGAATATAAATTATAATCCTGTATCTGTTTCACGGTTCCCAAATAGATAAGTCTTATGAAAATCATGGAATGTTTAATATGGAGGCCATATTTTCGGAACATCTTAATTAGATTGTTTTTGGCGAGTGCAAGATTGGTCATCATGCCCAAAGAAAAACCCGAGTAACAATTTTAACTAGTTGTGTGTTACCCACACGCTAATGTCTTGTCACACTGAAGCTTTTCTCGTCAAATATACTTGGGGTTCAAATCACACACACTTGACTGCTTTCGATTTGGAACGAATGTCTTCTAAGGCCTCATATCAGCACCCGATAGCAATAATAGCATGCTTCCAAAAGTATTATTTAAGATTAAGAAGAATGTGTAAGATACTCGTATAATGATAGCCTCAGCAATGATCTCAAGCACCTCCTCACTCTCCCGCTTTCTCTTCCTTCTCCTTTTCCTCCCCCTCCTCCGTCTCCTCCTCCCTACCCCCTCTTCGTCCCTACACCTCCTCCTTACTATCTTGTCTTCTCCTCTTCCTCCGCATCCTCTTCTCCTACCCTCTCCGATTCCTCTTCCTCGTCCTCTTCTTCCAGCTCTCCTTTATTTTCAAGATCATAACAACTCAATTTTTGTTTGCTTTTGGTTCTGTGATGAGTATCTGGGTTCAGTGTCGCTATTGAGTTTAATTGACTTTTCCCAGTTGGCAAACAAAGAGTGCTATCAGCGCCGTGTCTGAGATAACTGCGAGCGCAGAGATATTATTATTCTTTTCAGTTTTCTCCGGTATGACACTTTTATATTATTATTTAATTTCATTCGCAAGCGTTGGATAGCCTCTCACATAATCTGTCTTGATGACGAACCCTCGAAGGTAGGTTACTCATACAATTTAACACACACACACACACACACACACACACACACACACACACACACACACACACACACACACACACACACACACACACACACAATCACTTTTGTCTGTCTGTCTGTCTGTCTGTCTGTCTGTCTATCTGTCTGTCTGTCTGTCTGTCTATCTGTCTGTCTGTCTGTCTGTCTGTCTGTCTGTCTGTCTGTCTGTCTGTCTCTCTTTCTCTCTCTCTCTTTCTCTCTCTCCCTTTCTGTCTCTCGCTTTCTCTCTCTCTCTCACACACACACACGCACGCACACACACACACACACACACGCACACACACACACACACACA